ATGTCTTCAAAATAATAGTCATTGGGTTTCTGCAGACATCTCTAAGAGTGCAGAACTAATGGCTAACAAGTCTGATGCTAGTTTAGATCTGTTCTCTTACTAGAGTGAGGTCTTATGGATAGGTATAAAATGAAATTGAAAAAAATGCATCTTTACTTGGTATGACTTGTTATTCTTCTTGCTCTTACCATCTCTTACCATCAAAAAATAAAGCCCCAAAGATATCTAGTAATTGTGGTCATGCTACTAGAAAACTTAGCATTTGTAAAACTCTGTAACAGAGACATGCAATACTTACAGTGCAGTCCTTACGACAGCTGGGTCTCTGATGCCCACTGGTGACTGCGATCCATTGGTCACCTACGGTGACGTAATTTCACAAAGTTTGAAACCATTGATTGAAAGTCAAGTGATGCTGGGTGGAGCCGGAAGGAGTCACTGGGCTCCTGGCAGAGTCTGAGCCGCAACAGGTGCTTTGCTACATTTTCATGCTGGTTGTTTCTGAAGAACACCCATCCATGGGTTATATTAGCCTCGCTGGCTCCCCTCCTGGTTTAGGGAAACTGGCTGGAAGACACGAACAGCACTTACGCTAACTGTTAGACACATGCTTAGATTATGTCGTTATGGTTGTATGTCTAAATTTGGCACCCAATGTAAGTGCTACTGTATCTGGTGTTATTTGAACAAAAACAAGTGATGGAACTAAAGCTGAGCACAGATACAGCCAAGACCAGATGGTTTTCAAAAGTAAATCTGTGATCCTAAATCTACCTGAAAGCTTGCTTTAGAAGAGTAACCTGCCTTTTAAATGGGTTGCTCCTACTAAAGTCATTGGGAAGAAGTGGTGGATGAGTGGATTTGAAAATCAGGCCTGTTTTTATAGTAGGTATTTTAACCTGGATTTACATTCCTAGTCTTTAAAATTTTGGTCAGTTGAACTTCTCTGTGAAAGTGTGCAAAGTTTTAATTATATACACTGCAAATGCATTTAGTGCAACTCAGACCCTGATACTGCAGAATGTGAAAGAGGCACTTTACTGACAGAAGAAGGTGTCTATTTTTCTCTTGAAATTGCATTAAAATTTAGAGAAGGCTGTTTAGTTTCTGTTTGGTTGTAGAGCGCTTCACTGAGTCACAGTGATCTCTCTGTTCATGAGACCTTGAGCCAAATTCATCTCAGCCAAATTTATCATCAGCTTGTTTGATGATAAAAACAACTATCCAGCTAGCAACTGAAGACAGGCAGAAAGAATGAGATGCTTCGAGGAGACTGTAGGAGAAACCAAGATTAAAAAGCGTCATGATTGCTAGGAGATAACCCTTAGAAATCCATTCCAGCTTTTTCTGTTCCAAGGCTTTTTCAGACCTTCAAAGGTCATGGTACTTCAGCTAGAAGCAGCTTCTACCAAAATAATTTTTTCTTGTCGGATGGCTTTGATGTTCCTTGTCTGAAGTTCAGAAATTTTTTTTTTTATATGAGAATAGTTCAGATACAATCTTGGTCATTAAGAAAGTCTTGCTGTCCTGGCAAGCCTCTTGTTATTCTTCTTCCCAGATGAGATATTTCCCTCTTTGCAAATGGGTTGCTTTGGGCTGTGGAAAGGTTTTTTCTTCTCTCAGTTTGCTTCATCCCTTCCTCCAGGGGCTGTTTCTTCTTTCTAGAATGTTTTAATGCACTGTATGTTCCCACTATAGCTCCCCATTTGACACTATAGCTGGAAAACACCGATGATGGAAAGAATACTATTTAGTCAAATACTTTCTGAACTTTAAGGAAAACATTGTTTTTC